AGCATAATTCCATACAGATAAAACATTAGTTACAATTCTTCAAAATAATAAGAGCAACACTGGAGATGACTTTCTACAGAGCAGCACAACTAAACAAAAAGAGTGACTTTTACTCGGTGTCATAAGGGCCTATGTACAACAAAAGAATACTTACGACTAACCTTTATCACTGTACAAGAAAAACAAAGTAGTATCAGTCCTACTCTGAATTTATCTCTTCAAACTCAGGAGATAAATCTCTCTCATATGAGTCTATCTCCAAGTAGTTAGACTCATCGGTATTTAAAGGATCATAATCCTCTGAAATATCAATATCCATTTCCTCCTCCTCAGCTGGAGGGGGAATTGGTGGTGATATGAGCTGAAAAGGATTATTATTATCTAAGTCAAGGGTTAGTCTAGCCCTTATGGTAATAGGGACACCACCTCCGGTATGTCTATCCCAATCGTGCTGCCATCAATATAGCATCAGGCTAATGAGTCTGATCGTCATATTCATTTGGTGTGAAATCTAGGCCATTTCCCTCTGCTATAGGTAGTAACCGATCAGGTCCAATGAGTACCGCAGGTACAGAGAAAATAAAGAAAATAGAAAAACGATAGGGTGAGTCACAGTTCATACATCACGTTAAAATCAAACATCATAAATATTCACAGATAAATCGCTTTTCAAATGAATGATGATGATAGTGCATGATCCTAGCTTATTTTTCTAAAATATCCATACATGCAGGCCCGAATTGTTTCTTAAATCAGTACTGGGGTAGCTAGGAGTTGACATTATTAGGTATGGAAATCCACCCACGGGTTTGTTGAGACCCACACTCAAATATGAACATAGTAGCTCACTAACCATGATATACGGCAAAAGCACAGTTAGGTACAGAAGAGTTTGTACAGTGGGATTTTCGGCGACAGGTAACAAGCCTGAGTCTTTTAGGGCTTCCAGCCACTACCCTTCCTATCCTCAAGTCCTCCCTCAGGGCCTCCATATCGTATTCCCATAGTTCATAGTATTTGATTCCCTATTTTGCACAAAATACCATTTTCAGATGAGTAATATATGAGTTCCTAAGTGATTTTTCTTAGAAAAGTCTAATATTTCCAAATTCCTAATTTGTTCGAGAATGATTAAAAAATTTTCTAAGTTTGAATATTTTTTAAAATTTTGACAGAGTTTCCTCTGTAATACGGTCTTCCCAAAATTTTTCAAATACCTGTTATAATCAGAAAACTTCCCAATACAGTTTATAAGGGTTCTCAATCCATCATTCAATCATTTCAATTTATTTTCATTAAACTTTCCCATGAAAAACCACCATGCACATAAATCCTCACTCAAAGACAATTCATATCATATAACACAATTTATGTCTTAATGAAGTATTAAACATATATTTCCACCATCAAACACATAAGCAACCCATTATCAAAATTAAGCATATAAGGAAATCACAATTATCAATCATAACAAAATTTAGACAATTTCAACAAATAAGGGTAAACAAGTTTATGATGTAATTCTTACTGCATAACTCATCCCTCCTTACCTGTTACGTACACGTTTGTTCTCTCTAATGCTTGAAGTTGATTTCTAATGAAATATATACATGTAATGAAACGCTAGTTAGAATCTTATAATTCTTTGATTTTATATTGTGGGAATTTGAACTTATTTTGTTTTGTTAATCCATTTTTGGTAATATGTTAAGCTCACATTCACCTTACACTTAAAAAAAAATCATCCTAGTTGGTACACACTTAGAGTAGGAAGAATCCTAATGGCGAACATGAACAAGGTTCAGTATTTTGAAATTTTCTAGAGTTATATAGACTGTTTTGGCATGAGATCAAAGCCAAAATTTAGTAATGTAATTATCTACAATATTGATGAGAGTTCAAAGTCTAATTCGAGATAGATTGTACAGTAAAATTAGTCAAAGTCATGACAGGGAAATTTTTGAGTAGATTACACAAAGTTCAATGTTTTTGCCATAACTCAAGATATATTTAATATTTTAACATGAGACCAGTTTCTAAATTTCAAGAATTCATTTATCTACAGCTTTTATGGAGGAATTAAGTTCAAATACCCTATAGAATAGTGCCATTTTTCAGTTTACAGTAGCTATTTCTGACAAGACTCAACTATACTAACACTCTGAATATACCTTAATAATTTCACCATATCTCATGCTACACATAAGCTATTGACATGAAACCAATTTCTAAATTTCAGACATACAATTTCCTACAACTTTTATGAAGGAGTCAAGTCTTAATTTTACACTCATTAGTCTCAGTAAATCAAAACCTATGGCTATTGGAATAGGACAACCTCCTAAGGTGATAACTAGAACACCTGTTAGTAAAATGGACAGAACTTGAGTTATAAATATCCGTTTGAGGTGAAACCAGTAGCTAAATTTCAAGTATTAAAAGGAATACAACTTTCATGAAGACATAAACTCCCAATTTAGTCTGTACAAGTCCTAGAATTTAGTGAACAATGACCTGCAAATTTGGGTTCTTAGGTTTTAAACTCAACCACTTCTAATCCTCCGTTTCATGCATGATTCTAGTATTATGTAGCACATCTAATTAGCAGACAAGAAATGAACCGATCTGAGAGCAATTTGAGTAAATTAAAATTTTAATGACCATTCCAATATTATTATAAATATTCTATTACCTTGTTTTAAAAAAAATTCCCTACCTGTTAAACTAAAAAAAATTTACATTTGCAAAAGTGTAATTTTTAAGTTAAAAAAATGATAAAGTAATTAAATTTTGACTTTTAAAAGTGATTAAGAGAGAGAAGATACATGAAAAATAATCTTCTTCTCCAACAAGCTTCCATAAGTTCTTTCCTCTATTTTTCTCTCAAATACTCTCACTTTCAAGCTTGATTTTGAGGGCAAAACTCTGATTTTCTTGAGAAGCTTCAAGAGGTAAATTTGTTACCCTCATCCTCCTCTACACTTGTATGGTTTTATTTTTCAAAATGGTGCTTATTTAATTTTCTCTTCTTACTTGGATGATCTTTCTAATATTATTAGGCTCTTGTAAAATTTTCAAAATTTTACAACTTTTTTTGCTATATAATCAGATTCATTCTGAATTTTTTTGTTTTACTAAGATACCCGCAAAATAGGGTAATTTTGAGTATTTCTTAAAAATTTCATAAAATCACAAATTATCTAATGAATATAAAACTCTAAAGTCACTTTTATTAATTTCTAATAATTTAATTTTTTTAAAATTTTGACAAAGATTTTGTCAAAATTCAGCAAATAAGAGGTATTGAGAATTATGATATTATAGAAAACCTTTAAATACCTTTTAACTTGCGATATTCTCCGATAAGCTATCTCTCGTTGTACCAAAAAAATCAGATAAAATTTTCTTTTATCATCTGTCATTCTAGCTAAGAGAGTGTCAGATAGCTTGATTCTTGACGCTCTTTCTCGCCACAATGAGATATTTTACAACTTACATAATTTAAACTCTCTAAAATTTAAATAATTTAACACATATAACCAATATTCAATACTAAAATAATAAATATCAAAACAAAAATGTTACAATAATAATATTATAATTTTTATAAAAAATTATTTAATCTATCCTATTTTCATCATTAATTTTATGACAGAAAAATTCATTAAAATTTAAAATATTAAATTTTTATACTAAATATATAAACTCTCGTTAAGTGATTTTATTAATTATTTTGTCAATTTTATTAAAATTTATTTAATATTTTATTAGTCCTTCAACTGTGTTTAGATTATAATGTTGCATTAATAATTTTTACTTTTAATATATACAAATTGAAAGAAAGTATATTATTTTATTAATGTATGAATTTTTTAAAATATAATAAATATAATTTTAATATAAATACATATACAATTATATGTTAATATTTTAAAATAAAATTTATTAAATTTTTATTACTATAAAAAATTAGTTTATAAAAGTATCATAAATAAAATTAATAATAATACAATATGTATTATAAACTTATAAATTTAATTATTGATTAACAGGTAAAAATATTTTAAAAAATAAAAAATTGAATATTTTTAAAATATTAATTAAATTATTATATATTATTTGATAATTTAATAGAATTTATATCAATGAAAATTAAATAAAAATTTAAAATTTTGTTTAAATAATATTAAATTATTTGTTACTTAAACCAACTGACTTAAGGATAATTTTAGTTTTTAAAAAGTAACTTTTTAACCTAATTCTTTTAAAAAAAATTACGAAAACTTATTCTACATCAACTATTATGTATTTAAATAAAAATTTAAAATATAAATAAAATAATATTACTTTTAATATTTTATTATTTAAAATTATATTTTTACATTTAAGTTCTTGTACTTCAACCTCCTTCCTATTGTGCAAAAGTTAGGGTTTCAACTGAAGAAAATGAAAATGGGAATAATAGGGCTGATGAATCCAAAACATGCAGATGAAATGGATGCATATTGAGCATTAGAGTCTCTCTTCATTCCTTTTCCAATCTTCCATTTTGAGCATTTGGATATGTCTCTTTCCCACTCTTTCTCTTTCTCTGATTTCTTCATCTAGGTATCGCTGCAATTTCCTTTCATTTCAATTTCAATAATGGTTCTGGGTTTCTTCTTCGGGTGGTTCTGGGTTTCAATTTCAATTTCCCACTGTTTAATGGTTCTGGGTTTCAATTTCAAACCAAAATCTCATAAAAATCCAACTGGGTAGGGTTCACTTTGATGCTCACCATCAATTGCTCAGAAAGAAGGTAACTCCGTGAAGGACCTCGTCGAGAACAGCCTCGACGCCGCCGCCTCCTCCTCCGTCAACGTCCTCGTCTAGGACGGCGGCCTCAAACTCATCCAAGTCTTCGACGATGGCCACGGAATCTGAGTCAGTTTGAAACAACTCACTGTGTTTCATCTCATTTCACGTCACAATGTCTCATTTCTTGCTATGCTTGCGTTTTGATGCAGTTTGAGGACCTTCCCATAATGTGCAAGCGCCACACGACATCCAAATTGTCTGCGTTTGAAGATTTGCAGCGCATCAAGTCCATGGGGTTTCGAGGTGAGGCTCTCGCTAGCATGACCCATGTCGCTCACGTTATTGTCACTATCATTACCCAAGGCCAATCCCCGGTTACAGGGTTTCCTATGGAGATGGCGTTATGAAGCACTGCATCAACCATTGTCAAAGGAACGCAAATAACGGTAGTTTGTTCATTTAATCGTTTTTTTAATTTTTTTTGTAAATAATTATCTATCTACTATTATTGAGCTGTTAAAAAACCCTATTGCTCTAGCCCTATCTCTAGCCCGGGTTACGCCCAAAAAGCTTCGTAAGCCAAAAAAAAAATCCACCAAATCAAAACTCCTATGGGTTAAAAATCCCATAGGGCAAGGCGTCATGAGTAAAAAAAAATAAAATTATAAACTGTAGATTTTGGAGGAGAATGTAATTACAAACTCATAATGCGGAACAAGACTGTATTTTTAAAAATTAATAAATATAATAAAATATACCTTAACATTAATTTTAATTATATTTTTAAATAAAAACTACAGGAACTTTGGTTGACATGTACAGTTTAGCCCTCACCGTGAAACACTCCCAAATCTTACCCAAAAGTTAAACGAATTCTATTCCTAATTCTCTGAAATCATGCAAAATCCGTGGTTTGTGACTATCCAAAATCTACATTCCTCATAATTAATTGATCTCTGCAACTTGAGTCAGAACTTTACAACGGAAAGGAAGCCAAGCTGAAGAAGGAATGTTGCAACGCTTAAGAAAGAAGCAAGAACAGTTATCGTTTGACAGAAGTCGGAAATTTCTGGTGATCTCTCTCTCCTATTTTTTTTTTTTTTTTGAATCTAATACCTCGATAGGTTGCTTCTCTCTTCTTCTCTTCAGATCTATGCAAATACGATTCCGATCCTTTTCTCTTCCAACTCTCTCTACAAAATATCCCTTTTGGCATCATTTTCCTTTCCATTCCTCCACTTGCAAAATTATAAATAAAAACGGTGAACTGAACTTTAACTACAATCAAAATTATTTATCGTGATTGGAGATTAAACCCTCAACAACGACGACAACAACAACGTTTCTAGAGAAGTTTGAATATGTAAAATTTGTGATTCGGGGTATAGTTGCATTCTTCCATTCTATATCTTGCTCTATGTAATTTTATATAATAGATATTTCTTTTTCACTTCGGGTGCTACTCCAACATTTTTGTATATACAATTATTTTTTATTCTGTCATTTTTCATTTGACTACACATCCACTTTAACATTTTCATCTTTGTTACTCTTATTTTTATTTAGTGTTGTTTCCTTGGAGCTGATCGTATTACAATATGATAAAATTTCTCTTTCAATTTGATAGATACTTTACGTTCATAAATAACTCTTGACGTCAGTTTCCATTTTAATTACACAATTTGTATTATACGAGTAATATTTTCATTATTTTTATTATTATTTTGAAGAATCAATCCAAGGTACCTAAATTTAGAGATTTGTGGTATAATATATTTTTAATTTTGACTTTTAATGCATAATCATCTTTTTTTATTAAAATTGCAATGCATATACTTTGTTTATTTATGCTCAAATGAAAATTTTTAGATTCTAAAGTCTCTTTTTATAACTCAAGTTTAATATTACTTTCTTTTTTTTAATACTCAACTATCATTATATCATATGCAAAGAGCATTTATTTAAAAATAATCTTTTATATGTCACTCATAAACACTTAGAGGATTAGTTTAAATAAGTAAGGATTTAAAGCGAGCCTTAATGTAAGTTTATCTATACAAGGAAGCCTTCAAATACTCTTTTAAAAGTTTTTACAAATGTAATGTAGTTACTCCCCCGTACATGTCTTATATTGCTCAAATATGTTACACAAACTCCTTTCTTTTCAAAAGTTTTTTTATAACACTCTTTTGGTACACAATCATATATTTTTTCTAAGCTAACAAAAACTATACTTAAGTCCTTTTTTTTTTAGCAATACTATTCTATCAACTTTTGTAAAAGATAACATTTCTGACATGAAACTTGAACATTAGCTATATATTCATGTCTGCATTTACCACATTTTACATATTTGGTTGTAAAATGTTAGGGTTTCTTTAATAGGACAATATGCAATCCTTAGTGAATCTAAAATCTTGAATTTGCTTCATTATTAATCTGTCTTTGGATTGAAACTAATTAAGGTGTTGTGTTGATTTGATCTAATCATCCAATGTCAGTTGGTCTCTCTAATGTCAAGAACTCTTGATTATATGAAGTTATATTCAATTAGATGGTAAATGAAATTGGTTGTTTAGAAAAAAATTGCTATACATGTTGAGCCTTAGAAAAAAATGAGAGTAAGCTGTATTACGACAGGATTAGTCTATATCAAATCTTTTTTGTCTCCTAAGTTTTAAGTGAGAACTTTATCTCCAACAATGATACAAAGGTTACATAGACATCGTTTAAACCATACTTAATAGATTTTCTTAACAATGATTTTTTGTACATATAAAATATCAGCCATACGAATATGTAATTGTCACGGTTAATTACTTTCTAAAACTACAAATAAATTTTCATACAAGAATTGTCTTTATGATGGCTCTTGAAAGTTAGTATTCTTATAATTCGTTAAGTTCTCACCAAATTGTTTAAGCTTACAGTATCAAACATAATAATAAAATTATAATTATTTGATACTTTTTTTTATTTACTATAAAATTTTTAAAATATAAGTGAAAACTTATAATTTAAGTAAATAATAATAAAAATATAAGAAATAATAATTAGAATAGTTTTGCTAAAATTTAATTAAAGTAACTTCTTCGTGTTCCAACAAAACAAAAGTACATGTCACACTTCCCCTTAATGCTACTATATTATGGTTTTTCAATCTAATTAATCAATTTGGTTAATTAAAAAATAGAAAATAAAAAAAAATTAAGGTATTTTACTCATTTAAATTGTACTTTCTTTTTTATTAGATTTATCTTTATCCCAATCTCATTTTAACAATTATTTTTCTAATAATTCATCTTTACTTAATGAAGCACATTAGAGATTCAGTGGTTGGTAGGTCGATTATACCACAATGTAAATTTTCATTTCTGTTCTTTAATATATGGTTTGCCTAACAAATGTTATTTCATATAAACCAAACAAGTTTTGAAATTTATGACACATTAACTATAAAAATGTGAGTGGACTATCAATAGAGACCCAGTGGTAAGTCCATTATATCACAATGTATGGTTTGCCTAACAAGTGTGGTTTCATATATATCAAACAAGTTTCAAAATTTATGACACATTAACTATAAAAATGTGAGTGAACTATCAATGTGTCATCAATTCTTCCAGAACTAGTTTTTATTCTTACTTGAAAAAGATTATTCATAAATGTATGTGCTTCTGCATTTTTCAAGTATGACTGAATAAATTTTAAGAAATAATTTTTTTTTTTAAACTTTGATAGTGTTTTTTTTCTCTTTGTTCTAAATTATAACCAATCTCGCCACAAACATCAGCAAAAGCTGTGATTTCTCTAATAACTCCAGCTCCATCTCTGGTGAACACAACATGACAAACAATTTGAAATTTTAAAATAAATCTTTAAAATGCATAACTGACTAAACTTTAAAGTTGCATAAACTCATAACAATTTGATAATTACTACATAATTGCTGACTAATATAAACAAAGTTTCAGGCCGCGGTGAAAAAGACTTTGAGAAGACATCATTAATGTAATTTAAGTAAAAATTATTATAATTGAGATAAAAAATGTAAAACATAAATTATAAGACAAGATGAAATTTTATAATTACTAATGAAAAAATTAAGTCTTTTAATATTTTTTGAATCAAATAAACTATCTTCACAACTTCTTGGAAATAATGTTTTAAAATACTAATTCTGATTGTTTTTGCAAACGAATTAATGGTTTACTGAGATTTCAATATTTTGAATTTTAAAGTTAAATGACAAATCATACATGTAATAGATTATCTTTTAATTAATTTATGCGAGTAAATTTTGTAATTTCTTTCCTCGTGAGTCTTTGAAAGTTAACAAGATTAAATTTTATTTAATATAAAAACATTCAATGCAAAATATTGTTAAGTTATTCAAAATTATAAATTTTTTTATAATAAATTAATATTTTACTTACAAATTTTTAAGTTTGACCACAGTAAAACAATATGCTCATATTAGTATATGTTGTAAATGCTATGTTGAAAGACACGCATAAAATACAAAAAATCATTTTTCTTTATTTGTTGGATGAATGTGTCCATAGCCGACTATGATTAAAGTAGATAATGATCACTATACTGTAGCTACGTATTTTGTCTCCAAAACACTCAAATTCATGTTTTAATTGGATTGTGAAATGTAGAAGTGATAGGATAAAAAAAATTCATTGCTATGCACGACAACGAAGATAATTTGTAAAAAACATTAAAAAAAAATAATTGATTAATCTTACATTGCACAAATATTTAATAAATTTGCATAAAAATGTTTAATCAATTGAAGACATAGATAATCGACAATGGTATTTTTTTGAAAAATGTGTGACATGATAATAATTTACCTGAATAATATAAAATTAACAATAAAATTTCAATATATAAAATTTAATAAATAAAATGAAATATTGCCTAAAAATATATATATTAACTCAATTAGCTAAGACAAGACATATAACACAAGGAAGAGTACAATTTACTCCTGCAAGACGTGTTCTCCATTGCACATTTGCAAGAGATGTCTTGCAATAGCAGAATATTGTGGGAATACATCATCTTGCATTTCAGAGTAGTTTATTTCACTGTAGTCAAATTCCCTGAAATTTGTAAATAAAAAATTAATGTGTTATAATAAAGTTTATAATTTTAAATAACTTAACAATATTTTATAGATATTATTTTTATATTAAATAATTTATAACATTGTTATCTTTTAGAGACTCACGGTGAAGTTACAAAATTTATTTGTATCAATTAATTAACAGATAATCTATCACATCCCATAATTTGTCATCTAGCTTAAAGATTTAAAAGATTGAAATTTTAAGAAATTATTAATTCATTTTCAAAAACACTTAGAATTAGTGGTTTAAAATATCATTTTTAAATAGTGGTGAGGATGATTTACTTGATTAAGAAATGTTAGAAGATTTGATTTTTCTATTAGTTATAAATTTTATTTTATCTTAGAATTTAGATTTTTTTTTATCTCAACTATAATAATTACTGTTTAAATTATTTTAACGAGATCTTCTCAACGTTAAAAGTTGAGTTTTTTTGCCATAAAAAGATAATATTAATAAATTAAATGTCTAAAACTTTTTAAATTAGTTAACGATTATGTGATAATTATTAAATTTTTATAAATTTATGAAACTTTGAAATTTAGTTTGGTATACATTTTAAGGATTTGTTTTAAATTGTTTGTTAAGATATTATGTTCATCAAAGATAAACTAAAGTTATTGTTAAAGAAATCACAACTATCAGTGATGTTTGTGGACATATTAGAATGTTAATAAACAGTTACAATTGTTTACCGTTAGAACAAGAGAAACATCCATTGAAGTTAAAAAGTAAATACTTTTTAAAATTTATTAGTTTTACATAGAAGATGTAAATGTACATATATTTATGAATAATTTTTTCTAGATAAGAATAAAAGCTAGTTCCAGAACAATCGATAGTCTACTCATTTTTATAACTAATATGTGTCATAAGTTTATAAATTTGTTTGGTTTATAAGAAATAACACAAACCTGACAAAACATATAGGAAATTCTATGGGACATAGATGGAAAGTTATCTTGTGGTATGATAGTCTACACAAGATCTGTGCTACATCGAGAAAGATGAATTATTAAAAAGATAATTGTTAGAACGAGATTAGAATAATGATAAATTCAATAAAAATAGAGATGTAACTTTGCTAAATAAAATACTTTATATTTTGCTTAATTTTCTATTTTTGTTGTTAACTAGTTTTATTAATTAAATTGGAAAATAATAATATAACATCATTAAAGGAAAGTGTAATATGTGTTTATGTTTTGTTGGAACACAGCAGGTCAGAGGTAATTTAGTTAGATTTTAGCAAAATCATTCTAACTATTATTTTTTATACTTTTATTCTTATTAACTCGAATTATTAATTTGCATATTCTAGTTTAAAAGTTTTATATTAAATAAATAAAATTAAGATATATAACTTTAGTATATTATAAAATAATTATAATTTTGTTGCTGCACATGTAGATGCTTGTGATAATGTAACTCAATAGGGAGCTGTACTGGGTGAAATTTAATATGTTAAAAGAGAGTTGTTAAGGACATCAATCAATATAAAGATACTATAGACAAAAATAATAATTTTTTGAGAAATTCAATGGATTACAAGAATATTGTAAAAATCGTCTTGAAGATAATTTTTGTCATCTATTTTATTAATGAATTTTTTTTTGTAATTTTAGTTAACTACAATAATTACATGTTTGCGTAGCTGATACTTTACATATAAAAAAAATGTGGTTAAAAAAATTTAAATCTATTAAATATGGTTTAATTGGTATTTAGTGACCTTTATATTATTGTTGGAGATAAGAGTCTCTTTGAGAAGCAAACTAACTTTAATATAGACTAATAATCTATTCCTGTGTATGTGTTGAACTTATGAGACTCAACATGAATGACAAACTTTTTCTTCTAGACAACGAATTTGATTTATGTTTAATTGAATATAGAGAGGCTAATATCAGATGATTATCTAATATGAATTTCGTTAACTGTTCTAGAATTCTGTTTGTATTAGATAAGGATGTATCTAATGCACATACCTCTTTGTTCAACTAAAAGCGGAGGATTACATGAAGATTTAATTTGGTAATTTAAATTTTGTTGTCAACTCAATCTCAACTCTTATCTCATTATTCAAAGGACAGTGAATACATGTAAGGTAAATGATGAAATTGCAGCCAAATGTGACTTTTGATATTGTAATCTTACCAATGTAAGGTAATCTGTCAGGAATATTCTCAAAGAGATGAACTTGAGCGTGTTTTCGGTCGATTTGGACATGGTCATGTTCAGCTAAAGAGAGATGGATATGGCTTTGTAGTGTTTGATTTTCCTCCGGATGCGGAAAAGGCTCTGCGAGTTCTGAAAGGTAGAAATATATGTGGGGAACCTGACTCTAACGTGGTCCAATAAACAATTTGAAGTGCAGTTTTTGAGATTTGCTAGGGATGGTAGAAGAAATGCGAATGAGTGAGTTGCAACTTGGGAGGAACTCTGGTAGAGTTGGCTTTGCAAGAAGGAAAGTGTGTTTCATGGATGGAAGAATCATAAGATGGGAAGGGGCAAATCCATTGAAATGCCTGGGAAGACAGGGGACATCGACAAGATGATTCTAAAGATTATGTTGGGGAAGTTGAGTATTACGCGGGAGACTTTCCTGATGAAGGTGGTGGAGTGGAGAAGAAAACAATGGAAATGAGAAGAAAACAAGGGGGAAAATATTAGCTAAATTTTACATGTTTTCTGAGTTACCTTGACTATGTTGTTTCACTTGTTTTCTAACGTAGGAGATATAGCAGTCTAAAAGGGCTTTAGCCAAAGGGCTACCCCTGCCCCTATATTTATTTAGCTCTTAATATGTGGACCAGGGTGAGGATATCCATGGATCAGCCTCGACCATGAAAACACTTCCAAATGTTACCCAAATTCATACAAACCTTAATCCCAATCCTCTAAAATCATACAAATTCATGGTTTGTGACATCAAAATCTCCATTCCTCATGATTTTTTGATCTTTGCAACGTTGAGTCGAAATTTGCAACGGGAAAGGAAGCCAAGCTGAAGAAGGAATGTTGCAACACAACTACGGCCATGATTTCGAAGAAGCAGAGTGATCAAATTGATTGATTGATAGGAGTACAATGATCAGGTACAGGTTACTACCATTCTCAACCATGTACTCTGGTTTTGAACTAATTTTGTTTTTGCTTTTTAATTTTTAATTTTGCAGGAAAAGGAATTGATTTGGTTGAAATGCAAGGCGAAGCTGAAAGGTGGATTTTATGTCGATCCAGAGGCTAAACTGTTGTTTATTATTCGCATTCTTGGGTATGTTTTTATTTATTAGGTTTTTCCTCTTATCCCAAACCTTAAGAGTGTTTTTGTCGTTCTGACTAATATAATTGTGATCTTTCAGTATTAATGGCATGCGCCCGAAGACCAGAAAGATCTTGCAGCTGTTGCGATTGAGACAGGTATTACTTATAATCATATAATTCTCTATGGATGTTTGATGTTTCCTTCAGTTTATTGTTATGATTTCTATTTACAGTGGAGCTTAGTTGTAGGATAGTTCGAACTGGAAGTTTTTTATAATTTTTGAGCACTAAAAGAAGAGGTAAATAATGTGAGCTATAAAAACTGTCATACAACTACTTCTGTGACTGTACTCTTCTAATTTTCTCTCTCATTGTATTCCGCTAGCAAAGGTATATATGTTTGATCATTAGGTTTTAGGTTGTTGTTTGGCTCTGTGAGATTTCTGCATAGAGAGTGGAAGTTTTGAGGCATTACAGTGTCTTATTTAAGTTGTTAAAAACAATTGGACGCGTGGATGAGTTTTGTTATGATTTGTAATGCATTGCGTGCAATTTGTTTAGCATTTTAGAGCAATGAACAACTGTATACTGCATTTTTATTAATATGCAAGGGATTTGGTGGTGCTGATCCTTGTCATTTTGTAAAACAGATTTTCAATGGTGTATTTCTCTTAGTTAACAAAGCCATAAAGAACATGCTGCACCGAGTTGAGCCTTATGTGACTTATGGGTATGCTTACTTCTTTGTCACAATTTAAATGTGGTGATGATTTTTTTGACCACTAAAGAGATCTCTGCTTTTGCCCTAGAAACCCAAATCTGAAGAGTGTGAGGGAACTTATATTCAAGAGAGGGTATGGAAAGTTAACAGGGCATGGAGCAACAAAATTTTACTGCAGATGAAATGGAAAAAATAAAATGAAAAAGCTGATGACCTTTTAACAGGGCATACAATACCCCAGGAACGAAACAAGTTTAGTTCTATTTTTTCGATTGTTCTGTTCTGCTTATTAGCAACTGTTCTGGTTTCATTTCATTAGCAATAGCTAGAGAACACTAATTTCGCTGAAGCTTCTCTCAGTGAGAGATTGGCTCCAAGCACAATCTGCTTGCCTTATTTTGTTGATCGGTGTTTAAAGTGAGTGTCTTTAATTGTCATATTCAGGGGCACTGGATCAAAAACTTATGGATACGTATTGTAGTAGATCGTGTCCTTTGTGTTTCTATAGTTCTGCTATGTTCATTTGCTTATCCTATGTGCCTGGATTGCAGTCTCTCTCTCTGAATGGAAATTTTCTTTTTATTAACCCTTGCTATATTTCTTTTTGCGGTAAGTTCTTTTATTAAGCTGGTAGCTACTATATATCTATTTATTTTCCTTGCAGAGTCAAATATTGCATTGAGGTGTGTATCAATGAAATTGGACTGCCAAAAAAACCCTTTTTTGTATGTCATATTGTTTAGTTACTTTTTTAATATCAGTAATTTTTTTGGCCCATAAGGCCTTACCCTGTGGATTTATTGACCCATAGAACTTTAAATTTTTTGAACTTTTTTACCCTAATTCACATGGGTTAAAAATAGGGCTGAGCTAGTTGAATTTTTTGACTGTTACAGTGGAAGGTTACAGCCATGAAATGCAATTGTACCTTGATAAAAGAAAAAAGAATAAAACGACGTAATCAAATTATGGTAACGACGATGTCGAACGGGTTTTCAGCGATGTCACCCAACAAAACAAAGGAATTCTATGCCTATGCGGATCAAAATTTTTAATTTAGTTTATTCGTACTTTTTTAATTTCTACGAATACTTTTGTGTTATTCTTTTCATCAAATGAAGTACCTTTTTCTTTTATTGATTGTTAAGTATCTCATTTAATTAATTTATTTTTACTACTATTACTTCAATTTAAATTAAATTTTATATTTTAAATCTTTATATACCGTATTAAATGTTGCATTATAGAAAGTGATTTAACACATCTCTTACGTTTGTGGAACCCCTACGTTAAGAAGTAAGGCCTTTTCTTTTTCATAAGCAAAAACAATTTTTAAGATAAATTCAAATTTAAGTGATTTTAATTAAAATTTAAATTTTAACACATTATATATTACATTTATATATTTATATTGTTATTCTGGCTTTTTTACTTACAAAATATAAATAACTATTTTATCAAAAAAAATATAAAATCAAAACAATTTTTATGTCTGGGATAGTTAACTTAAATTTTTTAATGAAATTAAAAAATAAATAAAATATGATTGCACCGATTGATAGCTGAAGCAGAAAATTATAATGATTTTAGTTATGACGTTCGTTATGATGCAACTTTCCTATTATTGAGTCACTCAACTAAATGCATAGTAGTAGCACAAATCTATTTGTATACCTAGCATTAATCTTTGCATTTAAATTAAATACGTACTCCTAGTTTTGCTAGTGTGTGTATATATATATAAATTCATCTTTTGTTATTTGAAGTAACAAAACATAATTTTTATTTTTTAAAAAAATGTGGTTAATTTTTTTAATTTAAGTTTCGTAAATTTGGGCAACAAAAATTTTAAGACATAAGATATTTAAATTTTATACTCTTTTGGATAATAAATTTACATTTTTATCGTGACATTTTTTTTTTATCTTACATACCTACATGCATATATAAAAACATTAAATTTAAATAAAATAAAATAAATTATTTATATAAACATACTTGATTATTATGAGAAATAAATATATAAATAATTAATTTTCTTTAAATAATTAAGACCAAAAGATAAATAGACTTTTTAAATGCGATTATTGACTAATTTTAAATTTAGATTATTCACACAGTTGTACGCTCTATATTAAAATTTAAATAATTGTATAAGATGTGAAATTGAGATGTGAAGAGAAAAAACTGAGAATTTTTGTTATCTTGAAAAAACAATTGATGTTATGACAGGCGAGTTTTGGGTAGAAAATTTAAAATAATTTAATTAATTTAGTTTATGTATATTTTTAGTAAAAATAAAAATTTGAGTTTTTAATTATAAATTTAATGAAGAGACTAAATTTGCTTAATTTTAAAATAGAACAACTTAATTAACCCGAAAATACTTAAAAAACTAAAATTGTAGTTAAGCTGATTTTTTTTTTGTTAACTGAATTAGTATACTAATATCTTAACTTTTGATTTTATTTTAGCTGGTTTTCTCTTTTTTTTTTCTCTTCTATCCATTTCTTAATTTATAAAAATATTTTTAAATCGAACATTCAATTGCTTTAATGGATTGTCGGCATTGATATTTAGATGAGCCTACAAAGGTGACAAACCAATCAAACATTCCTTCTAAATCGAACATTCAAATTTAAATTTAGATTTAAAATATTATTATTTATTTATTTATTATGTTATAAAAATATTCAACATGCAAATTGAATATTTATTATAAGATTTTAATAATAAATTTTATTCATTTATTTTCTGAATATATTACCATTTCATTATTATGATATTTAATAATATTTAATTTATTTTAATTATTATAATTAATTACTTTTAATTTGAGAATTTTAAATTTATAATAATTACCGTAACATTTAAAAACAAATAAAACTTATAACAGAATCATCAAATATCAATTATGCGTAATTTTTTTATTTTAAAAATTTAAATTTTACATTTTAAAATTTTATTCATATTAATTGATTATACATAATTATGATATATTAATTATTATTGATTAATAATTTATCTGTTTTTTAAAAAACTAAAATAACAAAAAAAAGTAAAGTTGTTAAAAAATTAAATAACAAATAAGAGAAATTTAAAATAAAAATAATTTCATTTAATATTAAAAATAATGCAATACAAATTATTCAATCTTCTAAGTTTTCTGTGGTTATTTTTTCTTTAACGTAATTTCTTTCATCTAAGAAAAAATATAAGTTATAAATTATTGTATAATTTAAAAAATTATGACAATATCTTATAAATTTATGACTTATATATTATTTTTTTTTGTTAAATTTAGTGTTCATATAGTTGAAAATTTATTTGAAAAATTAATTATTTTTAAGTTATTTTCTTTTATTTTAGTATTTACATTGTTTAAACTATTTTCCTTCTCAACTTGCAAATCTAGAATAATAAAAATAAATTCTTTCTCCTTATATTATAAATTTTATAAATAAAAATAATAAAATAATAATATTATTCTATTTATTATCTTCATTGTTGATTTTAAAAATTTATTCGCTATAAAAATTTATTTTTTATAATTTTCAAAATAAAGTACTAATTTTTATTTAAAAAAATATGTGAAATATTTATAGTATTTTAAAATTTTAGAAATAACTTCAAACCTACCATCATTCTATAAAAATATTATTATATAAAAATAATTATATATTTAATATATTTTATTTATATAATCAATGATTAATTAGATTTTTATAACATTATTTCCTCTCATTCCTACCTCATTAATCCTCTTTTGTGCCTAATTGGTTGAATTGAATCATTTTATGATGTTTAAATTTTATTTGAGCTTTATTTAATTTTTTCAGTATTTAGCAAATTCTGATACTGTTTTGGTTTCTGGACTATATCTTGAGTTGTAGAACTCCTTTTATTGTGATTCTTGATTTTGTAGGAAAGCTAAGAAAAAGGTGCATAATTCCTATGAAGAGGTCAGAAACCAATTCTGATTATAAGAAGCTGAAATTGGGCCTGGAAGAAGTTGAAACGCTGCAATCACGGATCTTGAACAAGGTGCAGTATTTGGGCCATATCTCGGTCCACAGATGTCCGATTAAGCTCATTCCAGTTTTGTTTTGAAGCTGACATCCAAGGCTACAATTGTCCTTCAGGCCATGAATCACAAAGAGGCTGTTTTCATAGCCGAAAAAATGGAACAAAATGACGAATGAAATTTTTGAATTTTGAATTTAAATTTTTTGGCTCTTCTCTTCTCTTCTCTCTCTCGGTTTTTTTTCTCTTCCGTTTTTTACTTTTCATTTTCCTCCATTAATGGAGACTTAGACTTTCATCTAGTCCAAGAATTGAAAAAGGACTAAGACACTCTTGAGAATCAGTTTCGCAATTTATTTAACAACAAATTCAGTTTCATCTCTTCCTTCTTTCTCCTCTTGCTAATTATGATTTCAAATTGAAGTTCTTCGTTTGGATTGATAATTGTGCAGTTGTTTGATTACATATTATTCGGTTGATGTATATAATTAATTCTTGAAGGAGTGTGAATTAGATTTTCAGGTTTGAGATCTAAAATTAATGGCATTGGTGAATTAAATTAACACAAATCGATTAGGTTCTAGAGGTTTCTGAATTTTGAGCGAATTGTGTGTTAATCGAATGTATGAGGGTTCTCGTGTGAATGCTTAATTTGAATTGAGGTTTCATTCGAATTTAATGTTAATCACTAATTTGTTGGTTGATGCATCTCCTTGGAATCTGGTGATAGAGTGGTCGTAGTTCTTCTAAATTCTTGGATTAGAATTTTTAATTATTTTTAACTTTTGATTCTAATTAGTTATTCTATAAATCAAATCCCCTCTAAAAAATTTTATAATCATATAACATTATCATCGTTGGGAGACGACTCGAATTGCACCTCTTACTACATAATTTTTATACAATTTGATTTTTATTAATTTATCGGAGAGTGACACTCGCGATCAATCAATCTTATGGTTAAATTTTTAAGTTAAATTTTAATAAATTTATTTACAATTTTAATAGTTGCATTAAGATTTTTTTAACTATTATTGTGCTAATTGTGTAATAAATTTATCAATTAAAATATATATAATTAAATTATTTAAATATTTGACATTAAACTCAAGATAAAACTTTTAATATATACAAATTAAAATAACGTTATATAATTTAATTAATTTTAAAATTAATTCATATAACATTGTAATTATATTAACAAATTAATTATTTTGTCATTAGCTATTTAATATCTTTATAGAAATTTTATATTTGAAATTTCTAACGATGAAAGAAATATTTTTCTTAGAATAAGAAAATAAATATAATACCAACTATTTTTTTAATAATATATTGTCAAAATTACAATACAACAAATAAAACAACTCTGAAATTTAATTAAAAAATAAATTTAGTTAAATGTTGAAATAAAAAGAAAATATTTATTAAAGAACTTAAATTATCCTATTACTCTTTGATTTTTTATCATAACTAAAATTTTAGATAAATTTTTAAGATTTTTTAACTTAAGAAGAATCACAAATCCTGTAATATCAATATTTTCAATAATACAATTTTATGTTTATTTAATAAATAATTTTTTTATATAATTTACTAAAATAAAATAAAAGATATCAACCTAAATAATATATATACTTACTTAGACAAATGACCGTCGAGCATTGATATCATTTCAAAATATGAAAAAAAAGTAAGATGATATAAAAAAGAGATGAAAAGTTTTCAATATAAACAAAGATGAAAAGCTTTTTAGTAATATATCAAAAGATAAAATAATTAATGTAATAAATATTATCTTTTAATCTGTATTATCATTTATTTGTCTTTTCATAAAAAATAATTTAATAATATACAATACAAAATAATAATTTTATAAGTGTATGTAGTTTTTATTTTAAATATATTTTAACTTTTAATATATATTTTAAAATATTAAATATATTAAACTAATTAATAAAATCACTTAAATTAATAAATTTAAATTTGAATAAAACTTGAAACAATAGATATAATTTTATTTTTAAAGAAATAGTAACTCGAGGTTTGTCCATTTTTTATAAAGTTATTTTCATACGATTTTAATTAATATGTTTTTTTTTCTATTTTTAACATGATGAACTTTTCTACTTTTTTTATATAATTAATTTTAATAATTTTTTATTAAATATAATTCATAGTCAATTTATTATTTTTGTTTTTGATTATGGATGAAAATAGGGCAAATTGTTCGATAAGGTTCTACAGACTAACCTTTTTAAAATTTGACTCGGCTTAATTTATTTAATTAATAGACTTAATTTAAAATTTTTAAAAAATTTAATTAATTTAATAGGTCAAACTTGAGCTTAAGAAAATATATTAAATAATTTTATATAAAAATTTATAATATAATAATATATTAAATCAATTAAATTTTAAAATAATAAAATCTTAAAAACTCTAATTTTTTTATTAGAGTAAAAAAATGCCTCTATTACATATCCTTTAAGAGAGAGAATTCTATTGAATGTCTCAAAACTATATATCTATTTAAATGGTTTAATAACATATTTATAAGAAAGCATTCACTTATTGAAAGACTAGGCTTAATAAAAAGCTAATAATAAATAATAAGTTAAATTTAAACTTTAAAATTATTAAATAGGTTGGACCTATTTATGTAAAACTTAACTTAACATATTTTATTTCCATCCCTAATCTTAATATCGTATAACCATCAATGTATACAGTCAATTTCAATAAATTTTTTTTAAATACAATTCAAATTTAATAATTATGAATCAATTATAATTTAAATTCTTAAGTAATATAAAATACTGTAATCAATTTCAATAAATTTTTATTAAATATAATTCATAATTTGTTGTTTTTACTTTTAACATCCAACAACATTCATTTTGATAGTTTTTGTTATCAATATTATACGTTATTCAAAACATTCTAAAGTTTAATAATCATAAACTTTGTTATAATTGTATTTAGTAATTTTACATATAGATATAGAATATAAATATAAATATATAAATTTTTATAATTATTTTAAAATTTAATAAATTAAAATAAATAATTTTATCATTAATTAATAATAAATATATTATTTTATTAAATAAGACTAATTTAAAGAGATACAAAGTGTAAAATTAAGAAATAAAGATTAAATTAAAAAAATAAATACTCAAAAGTCACACAACATAATAAAAAAAGAAAATCTTTAAAAAATGGAAACTCAAATTTATGTAATAAAAAACTATACTACCCCAAATCATATTACAGTAAATAAAAAGAAAAATAAATAAATTTTGTTCCAAAAAAAATTAAATAAATAAAGGAGAAGTATCAGTGAAATCGAGGGATGGTAGACGTGCTTAGTTTGCTATCTCTAAATTCTATGACTTGTAACAAAGGGAAGCACTCCAATTCAACAATTGTTTCCTGTTCGTTACGCTCTCAATTTCGCTTTGGAAAGGAAAAAACGCTCTTCTGTTAAATTACTGAATTGTCCCCGTGCAGTGTATTATACCCATATTGTTAAAGTAAACTAAGTTTTTTGAATAAAAAAATTAAGAAAAAGTGAATCGTGATTGATCAAAAAGTGGAAACTCAAAGGGTTAAATTAGAAGTATTAAGAACGAGTGTGGCTTCATTCGAAAGTCAAGTGAAGAAGTTGCTCATAATAATCGCTTTCGTTGTAGTTCTTTTAGTCTTAAAATTGTTTCAATAGATGTATAATGTATAGTATTATATTGTTTGAATGTTGTGTATAATGTTTTAACAAAATTTAAAATAATGAAATCATCATTTGTTACATATGTTTTACTATTGGAGGTTCTTATTTCTATTAATTGTTACAATATTTTTGTTGTATGTGATGTGATTCAATTCTAAACTTTTTTTTTACTTTAAACAAATGAATGGAAAATTGTTGTTGAAAGAATTTGGTAATGTAAGGTTGAAATCTAGCATCATGAAAGTGTAACATTGTATTTGAAATAATATTTGTTGAGATATAATATACTTACATAACGAGACTATGTGTCTACATTTCATAGTCCTATAGCATTCTGAAATGGGGTGCATTGCTTTCTTCAAACTTAACCATACTCATCTTTTTAGCTCTACATATCTTCAATTGAGTATTTTATTTGTATCTACTATGTTTATTAAGATAATATTAAAATTAATTAATTTAACTATTCAAAGTAATCTTAATCAACTCTAACAAGATTGTTATGTGTAGGGCATATATGTGATGTAGACAAATAAAAAAAATAATACAATAGTATTGTTTAATCAAAATAAATTTTTGATTAAAGAATAAAAGATATATTGTATTATTAATATTATTATATCACTAAATTTTCTAAATTAAAAAATAATTTCAATTACAATGATAAATATTTTATTATAATAAATAAGAATAAATAAAAAATAATTTTTAAAAATAAGAAAAATTATAGACATTTTAAAATTAAATTGAATTAAAAAATTAAATATTTAATGTAGAAGAAGTCATGTGAAATAATAAAAAAATAGAGAATAATTCTAAAAACTATTTTGTTTTAAAAATGAGAAACTCAGATAAATGTAGAGGTAGATATATGTAGTCAGAAATCATATATTGTTACAATTATAAAGAAGAAGAAAAACCTTGCACAGAAAAAAAAGTGTCTGAATTTGTTTATTTTCAAAGTGTGTAAAATCCTCTGAGAAATCACAATCAGGAAAAGTTTGTCGTCTTTGATTCGTTTATTTAGTCTATGAAAATGGTTTAGTTCACAAAGGAAGCACCATAATTCGCCAGAGATAGAGTGAAAACATTAATAGCTACCCATATTCATTGGTTTGTATTGGATACCTTTTGAATTTGGCTCTCCTCGAAATAGAATATCTTTATTTTGAAAAGGAAAAAAATTGCATTTTGAATGTTGACGAAACTTCTATATATTATATATTCACAACTTTGCCTTAGAATTGAGCATGCAACTTTTTAATTTTCACAAAATGGCAGCTGTTTTGCTATGGTTTTTATATGCAATCACTCTCACTCTCAGTTCATGCATGGGATACAAACACATGAATGTTCTCTGCAATGGGAAAGATGAACATGAACTTCTAGTATTTAAGCAAAGCATCAAGGACCCCTTGAAGTGGCTCTCATCATGGTCCACTGAAGAAGATTGTTGCAATTGGACTGGTGTTCAGTGTGACAACATCACAGGTAGAGTCTCAAAGCTTGACCTTCATTGTCCCCTTGGTGATGTTCAATGTTTAGAGGGTGAAATAAACTTTTCTATATTGTTCAAACTCGAATTCCTAAGCTTCTTGGACTTGAGCTTCAATAACTTTAAGACTATTAATTTTCCACCTATTCATTCTGTCAATTTCTCCAATCTCCTATATTTGGACTTGTCAATGAACTATAATCTCCATATGGAGAATCTTGGGTGGCTTTCATGTCTTTCATCTTTAAAATATCTAAACCTGAGTGGTATATTTCTCAAGAATGAAACACTTTGGCTTCAACAAATGACTATGCTCCCTTCACTCATGGAATTAAGGCTGAGTGGTTGTTCCCTTAATGGTGACAATCTTTCTCCTGGGTATGTCAATTTTACTTCACTTGTAGTTCTTGATGTTTTCAACAATTCTTTCCACTCTGAGATACCCAAATGGCTATTTAATCTTCAACATTTGAGGTCTTTAATTTTGGGAAGCAATTGTCTAAAAGGAGATATTCCTAAATGGATGGGTCAATACACGTGTTTAAAACAGCTTGATCTTTCTAACAATTCCTTGTCTGGTCCCATTCCTTCAACCTTTGGAAATCTATCATCATTGAAATCTTTAGATGTTAGTTTTAATTACTTGAATGGTAATCTTCCAAGAGATATTTGGAAACTTTCCAAATTGGAGGTTTTATCCATTGAGTATAATTCCTTTTCAGGCATCATATCTGAACTTAGCTTCACAAACCTTTCAAACTTGAAGTCATTAAGCCTTGATTCCTCTGATTTTATTTTTGATTTGGGTTCCCACTGGCAACCCGCTTTCCAGCTTGAAAAGATTAGCATGAGCTATTGCAATGTAGGTCCTATGTTTCCTTCATGGCTATATTCACAAAGATCTCTTTCTTATCTTGACATTTCAAGTTCAGGGCTTTCATTCAATGTCCATGAGGATTTAAATTTCTGGAGTTTTGTTGCACAAATTGACAATCTGTTTTTATCCCACAATTCAATCAGTGGGGACATATCTACCACATTGATCAACAACACTCGAATTGATCTAAAATGGAATAACTTCAATGGCAAGTTACCCCATTTGTCTCCTAAAGTTATCTTCTTTGACATATTTAACAACAGCTTCTCAGGACCCATTTTTCCATTCCTATGTCAAAGCATGACAAGGGAACATCACTTAGCTGTTTTGGACATGTCACACAATCTTTTATCTGGAGAGTTGCCAAACTGTTGGATGAAGTGGCGATCTTTGATCCATGTGAATTTAGGGAGCAATAATCTATTTGGTAAAATTCCTGATTCTATTGGCTCGTTGACTCAACTTCAAACCTTGCGAGTTCGTAATAATAGGTTGTTTGGAAATATACCAACTTCACTCAAAAGTTGCAAGGAGCTGTGGTACCTTGATTTGGGGTTGAATGAGTTCACAGGGAATATACCAACTTGGTTCACACACTTGAGTATGGCCATCTTGTTAAGATCAAATAAATTCAATGGTATTATCCCATTACAAATATGTGAACTTTCAAGTCTTCTAGTACTTGACCTTGCAAATAATAAACTTTCAGGACCAATACCAAAGTGTTTATATAACATTACAACAATGGTTACAAACACTGTTGATGAAGGCTTGTTTACTTCTTACATTCATCCTTGGTTTTTGGTTCCAATTTCTGTGAGATCAGACCTAGAGGATTTACCCTTGTTTATGAAAGGCCGAGAATTGAACTATTGGCATGCTTTGAAATTTGTGCACGGTGTTGACCTTTCTAATAATGACCTCTCTGGACCAATCCCTTTAGAATTGGTTAGTCTCAGTGCTTTGCAGTCTTTAAATTTGTCACATAATTTTTTGGAGGGAAATATTCCAAGTGGGATTGGAAACATGAAGCTTTTGGAGTCTCTAGACCTTTCAAGAAACCAACTTTCAGGTGAAGTTCCACAGAGCATGTCAAATTTGTCATTTTTGAGTTTGTTGAACCTGTCTTACAATCATTTCATTGGAAACATTCCTCTGGGCACCCAACTTCAGAGTTTTGATGCATTTTGTTTCATTGGCAATCCAAAACTTTGTGGTGCTCCTCTTCCAAAGAAGTGCACACAAGAAGGGACACCTTATTATGGCTTCAAAATGGAGGACAAGGATGGTGATGATTTTACATCTTGGTTTGAAATGGGCATGGGAATTGGATTTGCTTCTGCATTTTTGGGCGTTTTTGGCATCCTCTTCTTTGTTAGGAGATGGAGGGATTCGTTTTTCCGAGGCCTTGATGATCTTTATTTGAAAGTAAAAAGGACATGTTAAATGCAAGACACATTCAGCTTTTACCTAGGTATATACTACTATACTGGACTTGCATATTCTTGGATTGTTACATTTGAATTTATATTCATGTTTAGTAGATGTGTGTTTTGATACTTATGAAAGTAACATCAAATTAATTCTTTAGTTTGACTTTTGTTAGTAAATTAGTTCTTGAAGAAGATGATACTGAAGCCATTGATTATTATTTGTAGGAATATAATAACTTGAAGTTGTTAGTCAATTGTCATATCCCAGTTCTAATATTTAAAATTAGTTTATAGAATTAATATGAGAAAAAATAAGTATGGATAGATTAAGCTTCTAAGTTTGATACGTTGAATTAGGTTATGTTGTGCTTGCATTTTACATGTATTTATGAAATGATATTTGACATATAGTAATGCTTTCATGAAGATGAATTAATTTTATTTAGTTAACTATAAGCAGTTAATTTCAGTATCACTCATTGTAGTGTATATTTGTAAGTAAAATTTTGATGGAGAACGTAAAGGAGAATATTTTCTTAAAAAAAAATAATGCAAATTATATAACATTTATAGATATAAATAGAATATTAGGACAATAATTCTATGTTAATCTATTATTATTTTTTAAGAAAAGGGTTATCAAGCTATATAATATTTATAAAAAAGTGTCCTTTCAATTTTATTTTATTTTTTAACTTTCAAAATTCAGCTCTCAAACCTATTTTAAAGTTAGTGGCCAGGTGGATTATATGAGATAAATGCAAATTAAATTAAGGAAAGATCAAGATAAATTACGAAACAAATTATGAGATTAGGCACAATAGCAAGTAACAATAAGAATAATTAAAGATTTTTTTTAAGGAAAAAATATTCAGAGGTTAATAAAAAGACAATTTAACTATACCAAGTTAGTGTAAAATTATTAGTTTCTTTAATTGCCTTAAATTTACTTAGTACTTAAAATATTTTAATTAACGTAGTTAAAGAGTAATAAAGCTTATGAATAAGCTCTAGAATATTATTTGAAAGAGCTTAAAAGTTTATGAAAGTTATTTGTCTAATTAAATTTAATAATTTTTAAGTATAGTTTATTAAAATATGTTCGTCTTAACTTCTTTTTTAATAAATTTTATGATCAAAATTATGTTATAAACTTTTATGTTATAATTTTTTTAATAAGTGTTTAATTAAACTACTTATCAGAATACACTTTATATATATTTTTTGTCCTAATTAAATATCACAAGTATTCCTTCTGATCTCTTGATTTAAAATAATTTTTATTAGTATTAGTTCTTAAGCAACTCATCTAAAAATGATAATTTTTCTTAAGAAGAAAAATATTTATTACACAGGTATTTTATTAAATATATTAAATATACTTTTTAAATAAAAACTTATAAAACTTTTACGTTTTCTATTTTTAAAAGGTTCCAATTTAATCTTTATAAAAAATTTGTCCAATACTCTACTTGTATGTTAGTCGTTTTTCTCCATTTTTGCTTTTTGTCTTTTTAAAGTTTATTTTTTTTTATTTATTGTCTTTAAAATATCAAATCATAAAAATAAGAAGATAAAAGAGAAATTCTTAATATTTAATATATCCGATTGGATTGTTGTAAGAAAATTATTTTAATAATTAATTATTTGAAATAAATTTTATATTTGCATATGTAAGGTGAAAAGTAATTTTAAAATAATCTATCCATTTAATTTGTTTAATATAATAAAATACAACAGCCTTACATAAAATTATTATAAAGTTAACATTTTTGTATTTATTAATTATAGTGCTTAAATTACTTATATTATATGCAATGTTTTATTAATATTTTTTCACTATCTATAGTATTAGAAAAACTCATTTCTATGGTTATATGAATGTTTTATCAATTTCTAGATCCAGGTATCAGAATCGAGCAAGAAGAAGAACCAGGTTGAAGTTTATATATTTCTAGTATTTTGTAGCTGTTCTGTTTCTCTTAATACGAATACAGTGTACTAAACTCTATGTTTCTGGGTAGATTGAAACTTTATGTAAAAATAAAAACGAACTGGATAATGTTTTTCTTTTATGTATATGCTGTTCTAGCTATATAAAATAAAAAAAATAAAAAAATCCATTGCTTTTGAAATATGTTTCTAAAGTTAGTAGCACGATAATTGATACTATTGAAAATAATAATAATAATAATAATGTATTTTTATATATGTATGAAATGTAATTAACGACAAAAAATGGTCATTAACTCTTTCTAAAAGAAAATAAAATTTTAAAAAAATTAATGACTAAAAAATCCATCATTAAACAGCAGCGGAAGATGTACAATTTAATAATTTGTGGTGACCATAACATAGGAATGCTCACATGAAAATTGAAGAATATTAACACATTATTCTTTTTGGTTTGAGCTCATTTTTAATTTAAATAATTTTAAAAATAATTTTTCATTATTTTTATAAATCATTTGAAAATAATAATAAAAAAATAAAGTAATATTTTTATATTATAAAATTAAAATTTTTTAAGAATCTCAAAATATACACGCCCTTTTTATTCTTCGTACACACAATTGTTTTATCATGATTATCGTGTTATTATTGTCGCAATGAATCACAAGGATGTTTAAATATATAAATTAGTGTTATTTTTTAATTTGTTTAAGCAGTAAGTTAAAGTCATCAATAAGTCATATGATCAATTTTAGCTTTTCTAATATACAGACTCCAAGTTTTATTTTAAAATTATTTATTTATTCTCTTACAAGTAACTTTCCATAAAATTCCAAAGTATAATATACAACTCAAAAAACAATGAACTCTAATGGCTTCTTGAATAAAGGGTCTTCGTGAGCAAGTAAAAGCATAGCTATATGAAAAAGATCAACAATAAATTAAAATGTGTTACAAAACTTTTAAGGAATAATAAACACTCGTATTCTCCGTTGCACAACACGATACCTAAAGTCGTGCCGACTATTCTCATTACAAGAAATGCTTCACTTAAAGTTGGTTTACGGTAGATACCATTTGCAAAATACTTTAAAAAATAACATTTAACTTAGTTTTAGTGACTCTCATCAAATAAAAAGTATTAAACGTTAATTTTATGTAAACTTTAAAAAAAAAAAAAATTAGCATTAATTTTGTGTAACCTAAGTGGAAAACAAAGAATTTAGTGTATGTAACTGTTGTAAAAAATAAAGAATTTAATGTTAGTTAGAGATAATTGTGATAAAAAAATACAGAATTTATTCTTTAATTTTATGTAACTGTCCACAAATAGATAGATTTTAATGATAAAATAAGAAAAATAGATTATGAAGAACATTGTCTAACAAATTATCTATTGTTATTATTGCATAAATAGCACTTTGAATATTAGTAATAATATTATATATTATTATTTATCACTTTTAAATTATATATTTAATTTAAATAAATAAATTATTAAACATACAACAAATATAAACATAAATCAACATTATGCATACACGAAATATAAATATTAATAACATAAGAGATTTTAATAAGCGAATTATTTCTTTAAAAAAATATATAACAGAGACACTCTTTAACTCCAATAAAAATAATTAGAGTTTTAAATTTAAAATTTATTTATTTTAAAATTTAATTTATTTAATATAATATTATATTATAATTTTTATATAAAATTATTTAATATATTATTATAAAATTTATACGTTTTTATTAAATTTAATAATTTTTTTTAAATTTAAAATTAACTTATTTAATTAATTAAATTTTTTAAAAAATTAAATTAAATTAATTATTTAAATAGAAGAAGTCAAATTAAATTTATTAGACGGTAAACGCTTGATAATTCTAAAAATTTAATTAATTAAATATTTAAATAGAAGAAGTCAAATTAAATTTATTAGACGGTAAACGCTTGATAATTCTGGTCTATTTCCATCCATAATGACAAGCATGGAAAGTCTAAAGAAAAAGTTGAGTCTCAGGTGGAAGCACTACAATTCAGCGCAGACAGAGTGAAAACAGTTATTGCTATAGTCATATTGGTTGACTCGTGTTGGATACGTTCTGAATTTGGGTCCTACGAGTGGAATATGGTTTCGTTTAACAGGAGAAAACAAAGAAATTAAAAAAACAATTTTATTAAATAATGACCCAATATAATTGGATATATAGGATTTTTTAATAATTTGGTAAAATGTTATTTTACCAAATTATCTTTGGAAAAAATGGTAAAAGTAAGGTAGAAAATAAAAAAACAATGAATCGTTGAATTGTGCTATTCCTATCTGTGATATAGAATTGCACCGATTCATTCGTGAATCATAATATTATAATCGTGCCATTTTGTGTTCGTGTATTAATACAAATAAAAATACAATTATAATTATAATTTAAATAAATAATAATGTTATTCTATTCATAATTCGCTGCTTGATTGGATAAACAAAAGTCTTGATGAACGTACGAGTATGATCCAATAAGTTGATTCTAGCTGGCCATGGCTTCCCCTTTGCTTCCCTTTCTTCTTGGCTCAATGGTTCTGCTCTGCTACACATCTTTGATGTAGCCCAAACCAGAAGCAACATAACCATTGGTGATTTTCTTCTTGCAGAAACAACTAACAACAATTCATCATCATGGGTAGTTTCACCTCTTGGTGACTTTGCCTTTGGCTTTCTCCCACTTGACACTAACCATTACTTGCTTTCCATTTGGTTTGCTAAGATTCAAGACAAAACCGTAGTTTGGTATGCCAATGGAGATACTCCTGCACCAAAGGGCTCAAAAGTTGAGCTCACTGTTGATGATGGGTTAGTGATCACTGCTCCAAATGGTGAACAATTATGGAAAAGTGAGAACCTTAATGGTAAAGTTGCACGCGGTTTCTTAAACGACACTGGCAACTTTGTGCTTGAGGATGAAAACAATGATGCTGTGTGGGAGAGTTTCAAGGATCCAAGGGACACCTTGTTGCCCTTGCAAAGTCTTGAGATGGGTGAGAAGCTTTCTTCT